CACCTCCATCTCCTCCACCTCCATCTCCTCCACCTCCATCTCCTCCATCACCTCCAGCATCATCACCATTGTCACCACCCTGTCTCTATCACCATCATCATCATCATCATCACCTGCACCACCTCCACATCACCACTACCTTCTCCATCACCACCACCTCCATCTCCACCACCATCTCCATCATCATCATCATCATCACCTCCACCATCTCCATCGTCCTCACGACTGCCTTCTCCACCTCCACCTCCATCACCACCGCGGTCACTGCTCCCTTTAGCACAGTGTCTTCCTCTTCCAGGACTGTCACCCTTCACTCTCTGTGCCCATCACAGTGCTGGGAGATGGGCACCACTATTTTGGTCCTGTTTTGTGGAAGAGACGCTGAGAGCAGTTAAAGAACTTGGCAGCTGTGGGTGGCACAGAGGCTGAGCTCTGCATGCTGGCCACAATGCACGTTCTGTGCTCTGTCCCTGGGAGGCCTGGCGTACCCCGCTGCTCCGTGCGCCCTGCCTGGAAGGAGTGAGCTCGAGCCCCTGTCCGCGTGTGAAGCCTCTGCGGGAGGATTTAGCCGTGCACTTGCTGCCTGATGCCAGCAGCTCGCTCAGCCCCTCTGGCGTGGCTGCTCGTCTGTGGTGAACCCTCTGCCAGCCTCCCGCTGCCCCTCATCCAGCCGTCGTGATCCATGATCCTCAGCTCAGTGCAGGTCAGCGCTGAGTGAGGGTAGTGGAGCTGATGGGATGCAGGGCTGACCCGGGGGCCTTCTCTTTGTTTTTTTTTTTGTTTTGTTTTTTTGAGACAGGGTCTCGCTATGCAGTTCTGGCTGAGCTTGAGCTCACTTTGTACCCCAGGCTGGTCTCAAACTTGCCACAATCCTCCTGCCTCAGCCTCCTGAGTGCTGGGATTATGGCTGTGCACCACCACGCCTGGCTACCGGGGGCCTTCTCTTTGCCTTTTCAGCTACTTCCGGGTTTTGATAGTCCGTAGTCTATTCTCATTTTTCAGCTGCTTCTCACTGGTGTCAGAGCAACCCCTGGCTCCCCTGGACAGTTCAGACTGCTGGGGTCTCCCTGGCCCCCTTGGGGTACAGCTTATTCCTGCTGCCTCAGGTCCTAGGCTCTGCCCAGAAACCGTGAGGCCATGTGAGAGGAGAACATGGAAGCCTGGTGCCCCCTGTACACCGCCCTGCTCCCCAGGCAGTCCTGGCTTTACCCATATGACGTTGCCCGCCTGGAAACACGTGTGTCTCCGCAGCACGGGAGATGCAGCAGGGCGCTCAGCCACCTCCACCTCTTCCCGGGCTGCGCATGCGCTGCGCCATTGGCCAGGAAGGCACCGGCGCTGTCCCAGCTCTGGGGATGACTGCAGGTGGTCTTTGTGGGCCTGGCAAAGTGGGGACCCACTTTGCAGACCCCGAGGCTACCGTGGGCCAGGCGTGCTCGGCCAGAGACGTGAGCCCAGCCTGCTGGCTGTGGAGCTGGTGCCCCCGCCGCCTCTGACCACTTGGGGCCCTGCTGGTGTCTGCAGCCTGTGCCCGCGGGGCTGGAGACAGGCCCGGCCGGCGGGGTGGCAGCACGGCTGTGTGTTACTGAGAGCGGGCACGACCTGAAGCTGCGCGGGTGAGAACGAGCCGGGACAGTGTCGCGGGTCAGGCAGCAGGTGAAGGGCGGCGCGTGTCGGTCGGGAGCCTTTTCATGCCGACACACGCGGGCCCTGCAGATCCGGCCAGGAGAGGGGTGGGCTGGGGGCCTGCCGCCACGCGTGGTACAGGACAGGCGCCTCTGCTGTTGGAGTTGTTGCGTCCTCGAGAGTGGCCCGGCGTCTCACCGAATTTGTAGGCGCGTCGCCGGGGCCGCGTGTCCCCCATGGTGTCCCCGGCTCAGCGTCACGCACCCCGAGCCTCGCACCCGCAGCCCGGTGAACACAGGCCCATCTTGCCCCGTTTCCAGACGAGGAAACCGAGTCACGCTTCCTGCTGGCCTGGCAGGGCCCGGCTCTGCCTGGGGGCTGCGTCCCCACCGCGTCCGGCCGGCCCCGGGCCAGGCTCTGGTCTCCCCTTCCCGAGTCCCGGCACTGCTGTTCCAGGGCCCTTCCAGGTGAGCACGGCTCTAACGAGAGGACTGAGACCCCCAGCCGTCCTCGTCCTTTCGGGCGGCCAAGCAGGAGCCACACTAGACCTGCCTCGCTCCCAAGCCCCTCCGCACGGCTGCGCGCATGACGTGTACACAGCTGCCCGCTGCAGCTGAGCTCTCCCTGGTCCCCAGGAGACCCTCGAACTGGTGCAGCCCCAAGGCCCCCAGGGCCTCTGTTCCCTGAAGTGCAGGCGTGAGGTCCCCGATCCCCGGTACTCAGCACCTCGCAGGCCCCAGCTCTATAGCCTGGACAGTGGCCGGGTGGCCTTGCCATTGGACGCTCCTGATGGACGCCCCGTCCCGCCCCGCGGCCTCCACCCTGGGCATCCCCTCCGCTGCGGACCCTCATCCATCCTCCTCTACCTGGCGGCCTCTTCCCATTCCTCAGGCCTCAGAGGGGACGGCGCCTCCTGCCGCGGCCCCTCCCGCCCTCTGAAGGTGTCGAACATGCCCCGCCACCCTACCTCGGCCACCCTCCAGTCCCGGGCACCTGTGACTTCCTGGGCCACACTCCTCAGTGTCCCCAGGTGGGTAGGAACCTCAGGGCTTGTTTCTGGGCTGCTAGGCCAGGCCTCTGCTGTGAGCGGGAGGGATGCCCATTTCAGTCACTGCTGGGCACATGGTGGGTGCTCAGGGCGAGCTGCGGGCCGAGAGCCCATGCAGGGGGAAGCCTGGGGAGGCAGCTTGACGGCGGGCACGTTGGCCAGACCCCTTCCACCCCAGCCTGGCCTGCCCAGCCTTGCTGCCCGGGTTAGAACTTGCTGTCTCTGCTGTGTGCTGAGCACCTGGTACACAGCATCCTGGCACAGTGCTCAGGCTCGACAGGCCTGATTTCCCTGACCCCGCAGACCTCTGGGCAGACCGAGGCCCGCAGAGCTGCCCAGGTCACCCGCTGGCAGGCGGCTGACTCTGGAGTTCCAGTGGCTGAGCGTGGTGGGCTGTGCCGTGGCCCGAGCCATTCAGGCTAAGGAGGATGGCACCGTCACCCCAGGGAGACTGTGGGTACCTCCTTGTAATGCCAGGCGGGAAGCTGCAGGGCCCCTGGCTACTTCCTAGGCCGCTGTGAAGCTATGGAAGACGACGGCTTTGCAAGTATTTTGTGGGCTGTGGCCCCTGGACAAGGGGGTGCTCACGGCCCCATTTGCACAGATGTCTGTGCCTAGCGCCACGTGCTCTGAGAGATCCCCAGGGTGCTCGCACTGACTCCAGGTGTGCCAGGCCTGGGGGCCCACGGGTGCTGCCAGGAGCTCACCCAACACAGGACTCTGCTCCGCATCCAGCGGGGGCACAGCCAGGGCAAGTGGAGCCTGAGGGCTGAATCCCGGGTGTCCCGGGGCCCAGGATGCCACCCTGCGGGCAGGGACCAGAACAGCATGGCCGCGCCTCCTGCTGTGCCCACACAGCCACGGGAGTGCTTGTGCACACCAGCCGTGCACGAGGGGAGCCGTGTGCAGGCCTGAGAGTGCACAGAATCCTGCACGCCCCGCACGCCCCGCACGCCCCGCACGCTCCCCTGCGGCTGTGCTCGTGCTGTTCCTGCAGCTGGGGCCCCGTCCTTCCGCCCAGTCGGGAGTCGGCCCCTTGCCCGCCACGCCTCCCGGGCCCATGGCTGCAGTCACATCTCCGTCCCACTCCTCCAACACCCACGGTGGAGAGGCCACCCACACTCGCGCTTAGAGCCCCGGCTTGGTGCCCCCCCACCCCCTCCGTGTGCAGATGGACCAGGAGCTCTGCGCCCCACCGCGGCCCACTGTGCCCTCAGGGCAGGCCTAGCTGTGTTGCCTCCACCTGCTCTGTTCAGGGCCCGGAGGTGACCAGTGTCCCTGTCCCAGCATTGAGAGGTGACCGATGCTGCTGGGCGCCCAGGCGACGCACTGCCGAGCGTGGGCGGGGCTCAGACCCCCGGAGGACCGGGCCTGGGCAGCTCAGGGAGAAGCAGGAGGCTGTCGGGCGGGACCAGCAGGGCACAGAGCGCTTGGGGCTAGGAGCACAGAGATCCTTGTGGCCCTGAGCCCGTGTGACACTCGGGAGCCAGAGCAGGACAGGTGCCACCTCAGAGCGGTGCCCAGCGAGCCCGGTACCCAGTGGACAAACGGCTACTCACCCAGCGTCCCTAGCAGGCATGCGACGGCCAGCGGCGGGGACCCCATGGGTGCGGCCTGCTCCTGCCCGTCCTGGGCGAGCTCAGCACCCGCGGGTGAGGCGTCGGTCCTGTCTCCTCGGGAGGAAGAGGGCGGGACGGCAAGGTCGGGTTGGGGTGCAGGCAGTGCGGAGCCTGCGTCACCGTGTTTGAAGTCAAACTGTCAACTTCCTCCTGGCAGGGCTGCCACTGAGGACAGAGCTGAGCGAGGCTCTCACTGCACCGGTCTCGGTGACGTAAAGATCACGCGTGCAGGGGGCACACGCTACGACCTGCCCACTGGCTACACGCTAGGCGCCGCCACTGACCTGTAGGCCATCACTCGCGGTCGGAGTCACTTCTGGCGACCTGCAGGCCTTGCTGGCTTGGAGGGCTGCCTCCTCCCTGGGGCCGGGCGGGGGGGACAGAAGGCTGGCGCTCTGCCCTAGTGCTGTGCCCCTGCCCTCTGCGATCTCCTCAGCCATAGGTGTAGACGTGTTGCTTGTGCCCTGGATCCAGCACATGTCCCCTTCCGGCAGCAGCCGAGCCCCAGTCCTCCCCCCCACGCGGAGGCCCAGGCCCAGGGCGCCTTGGTGTGGGGCCACGGGCTGCTGTGAGTCACCCAGGATTCTGGCACAGGCCGGCCACCTGATGGGCCCATACCCTGCCCAAGCATGAAGCCGTCTTGTGACACTGTGCCCCTGGCCTGGGGAAAATCGCTAGGCTTTAACCCCCACCCCGGCAGGTCCACAGAAGCTGCTTCTCCCTGCGTTCCGGAGGCAGCCTGGCCCCCTCGGGTGTGCTGACCCCTTCAGCTCAAGCTGGAGCCGGGCGTCCGGCTGAGGCCCATAGAGCCCGGCCCGTGTTCCAGGATGCTTAGGTGCACGCGCTGTCTCTTCTGTGGTAATGTATTTCTGGGGACTTTACCGGGACAGCGTGAGCTGGGCCTGGCTGGGCCCGCTGGACTTGGGGCTCCGGGGGCCACACAGCCTGGGTGACCACGCAGCCCCGGATCTCTGTCCAGATGGCCGCAGCCAGTGCGACCCCAGCTCCTGTGGCCCCCGTCTCCTTTCATGCCCTTGCTTCTACCTCGGCTTTTCTCAGGGCTTCCTTCCTGCTCGTCTGCAAAGGCGGCTGGGCGTGCACTCCGTCCCCAGGGCTCTGCCCGCTCGCTTGGGACAGCGGGGTCGCCCTGAGCCAAGGCCACTCCAGCAGCCCTTCTAGGCCCTCTGAGGGGAGTCCTGTTGGAGAGGCCAGGTGGGGGTCTGGCCCTCACGGGAGGGGAGGGCTGCCCCACTTTGGGAGGGGTCGAAGTAGGCGACTGCTGCAGGGAGCTGTGAATCCCCGGGCAGGCCTGCATGTCCCCGATTTGTGTCCAGAGGGCATGCGGCTTCCTTCCTCCACCACCCTCATCAAGGGGCCTGCTACTGCCACCCGGCCCTTTCTGTGGGAAGCGCGCGGGCCTCTCCCCCGGCCGAGCCCCACTCCCAGGCTGCAGCCGCCCTCCCCGAGCCTGGCAGGGACGTGTCCCGGGTGCTGCCTTTGGGTGCAGGTTACACGGTATACGTTGCCTGGTGCCAGGGTCCCCCAAGGCAGCCCTTCCGATTTGCTACGGATGCTCGAGCACTGAGGTGCATTAGAACAAGTTTACCCAGTCCGGTTTTAGTTCACATGGGTTAATGAGTCCTCGACAAGGGGGTCACTTATATGCGTTGGTAGCGGAGACGTCTTCAAGTTAATATTTGGCCTGGGATGCTGGCCAGTGAGGATTATATTTGTCTGCGTTAGCATTTGTGTTTTATGTTGACAAGAAAATAATTTAAAATTATTATAGTCAGGCATGGTGGTACAGGCCTGTAATCCCAGCACTCTGGGAGGCTGAGGCAGGAGGATCACTAGTTTGAACTCAGCTTGGGCAACTTAGCAACTTAGTGAGACCTTGGCTGAAAATGAAAAATAAAAAGGGCTGGAGATGTGGCTCAGTGTAAAGGCCGTGGGTTCAACCCCCAGGACCTCAGGAAAAAAAAGATTATGCTTATCTGATATCTCAGTTATAAATAATACAGAAATAATTGTTAAAATAAGCAAATTGGGTAAATATAAATGGGGTAAATGTTTCAAAATGTGAGTTATTTGTAAATCAGTTGAGGTATTAAAACATCAAATGATAAATATAAATCCCAGTACTGCCGGTTTCTGAAATTCTATAGAAAAGACACTGTATTTGGGTCTGTTAAATGCATTTTCACAATCATAATCCCTTGTGTATAAAGAACCATTCAAGGGTGCTGTCTCCCTGGGCCTTCACTATGAAGTAAAGTCACTAAGAGTTAAAGTGCTAGTTAACATGTGTAATGCTGTGTACTCGGGATATAAAGAAATTAAGCTGTTGATGAGAAAGCTATACGAAAGGCATCATTTTGTTTTATTATTGTGTTTATTATTTTGTTGTAGGAAAAGAGCAATTTTATCTAAATTAGGAAATTTATCTAATTTTTTTTTTTTTTTTTTTTTTGAGACAGGATCTTGCTGTGCAGTTCAGGCTGGTCTTGAGCTCACTTTGTAGCCGAGGTTGGTCTCGAACCCGCAACAATCCTCCTGCCTCAGCCTCCCAAGTGCTGGGATTACAGGCGTGTGCCACCATGCCCGGCTAAATTAGGAAGTTTGTAAGGTCTGTTTCAAAATATAAAGTGAAGGAAAGAAACAAGCAAAGCACGATCCGGTCAGCAGGAGAGGGAGCGGGAAATACGGGACCGGGCTGCGTTCTTGGTAAGACAGTTTAAAAGGAAAAGAGAATTTTTTTGGATAAGAGAAGATTTTGTGTGGTAAAATAAAATATTTTTTGGTCCTCAAGCAAGACGTCTGTTTTGTATGGAAGTGGAAATAAAGCTCGAGCCGTCGCCGCGTACGCTGGGAAAGGGCTTCGTCTCCGTGGCAAACCCGGGTCTCGCTTTTTAAAATCTCATTTGAAACGTTTTCTAAACTCCAAATTTTAATCCACTGCTATAGAACAAAGCCTGAATCTCTGCGTCTAAAACAGTAAGGCTTTCTTAAATGTCGATCTGCTCCTAGTAATATTTCAAACAACTGGGCTCAGAAATAAAGATGTTGTGTTTTTACCAAGATAATTTCTCCTGCTTCCCGCTGTCTTTATCAGGATTACTGATTCCGTAGGAAAGTCAGTCATGAAAGATTTCGGTGTGTTTCAAGGTCTCTGAACGGTGTAACGCCGGCAGGGTGACGAGGGTGTGCGGTGTAGGATACCGATAATAATGACAATCCTGGGGCTTACGCACAGCTTAGCTCGGGGCGGGGGCTGTGGGCAGCGCTGTGCTCTCAGCTGCCTGTGGTGGGCAGCGCTGCCCCCCGGGCCGGCGTGAGTTTGAACCCTCTCTGAAGCATCCACGCTGGGATCGGTGGAAAAGACAGCCTGGTTTCTCTTTGATCATCCTTGGTAAAAACTGGTGTGACGAACCATTACGTTTCTTGGTTGTGAGCTGAATTTGTTTCACTCTTGTTGGTTTCGTTCTGTATTTCCTTTTGAAAACTTCCTACCGTTGCCTTTCAAAGTTCTAAAGAAGAACGTGGTCTATGGATGACCCGGCCAGCACTTTAAGAGGCTGGCATCAGCCCGGGACTTGCCCGTGGCCTCCAGCTCTCTTGGCCTGCGGGCCACGTCCTCCTTCTAAGCGGCTGCTGAGCTGCTGGTCAAGGCCTCACAACCCCCAGGCATCGTCCCTTCCCCTTCCGCACGGCACAGGCACGACCACAACTGGGATAGTGTCGCCGTGTGGGACAGTGAACGCCGCACCGCAGGCTGCTGACTCCTCCAGGGAGCTTCCGCAGAGCCGGCCTGGACAGGAGGACAGCGAGGGCTGTGGGCGCAAGATGGAGTCGCTTGCGTCATCCCCAACACAAATGACACCGATCCAGAGGTTGTCACAGAGGATCCCCGGAGAAGCGTGCCTGGTAATAAACTTGAGGAAAGAAACACAGCCCAGTGCTGAGACCAGAGCCGGCCCCCGCTGGGGCCTCGGGGACGCGGCTGGAAGGGCGCTGCCCGGGGCCCTGGGTTCTGGCTTTAGGCCGGGAGCTGTTTGGGCCGCGGGGCGTTGGTGTCTGGGTTCCTTCGTAGGGAGACTGGACACGAGTCACAGTGGTGGCCACTTGGGTGTGACTAGCGGGGCTGGGGCTCACTCGGTGATGACAGGCTGTCTGGGCTTTGCCAGGGCCAGTGTTACTCCCTGCCCAAGCCCCAAGGCAGCCCCCTACTCAACTCTGGAAGCGCGGAGGGACAGCCGACTGCGCTGCCCCGGTCGGGGCCAGGAGCCCTCGGAGTGGACGGCCGAGACCGGGGGTGGGGGCCCCGCGACAGCTCCTCCCGACCCGACCCTCCGGACTGAGGAGTGGGGCCCCGGCTTCTGCTGGCTTCCGGCCTGGGGAAGTGGCCGGCCGTGCCCACGCTGGACAGATGTCCTGAAGAGATGGGGCTGCGGTCGGCGGCCCGGGCGGGAGGGCAGGGAAGGGCCTGGGCCCCGGGGTCTGAGTGCGGAGGAGGGAGGGGGATGTAGCACAGGCTGTGCCGCAAGCAGGTGGGGAGCAGGCCGGGAGGTTTGGGGTGCTCACTTCCCTTTAGCAGAAGGCAGACTGAAGTCCTGAACAAGGGATGCGGATGCCTATGGCTCTGTGACAGGGCACCCTTCCTCACCCAGGATTGTCAGTGTCACCCGCCGGAGGTGCCGCTGCCTCCGCTGCAATGGGAGGCATCACCTCGCCCTGCCCAGGGGACCTGGTCTGGCTCCCTGCCCGTCACACTCCTCCTTCCTGGTCACGTGAGTCCGGAAGTTCCGGCCTGTGGTCCATCCACCGTCCGTCCATCCACCCATCCATCCGTCTGACATCTGTCCATCCTCCCCACATCATCCACCGTCTGTTCATCCATCCATCTTCCATCCACCCACTTATCAGTGCCAAGCCCAGGGATGCAGAGATGAAGGGGGGGCCCCGCCCATGCCCTGCGTGTGGCCCGAGCCCCTGGGGTCATCTTTCTGTCCACGCCTGGAAGCTGCGTGTGAAGCAGTCTCCACATCTCCGCTCCCACCCGGTTTACACAGCCCATCCGGAGGGCACGCTGTCTGGGCGCCTCTCTCCGGCTGGCGCCACCTCCTTCCTTCTTGCCGCCCTGGAAAGTGGGTGCCGCTCCCCACCTCCAGATGGGGAAACTGAGGCTCGGACTGAGCGCATTTCCCTGGCTCCAGAAGGCTAATCCCCAGCCTTGCCACCTGGCCCCCAAGAGCAAAGGAAACAAACCTACGCTGGCTTTTTGTTTGATTCTGGGAGTCCTCACCTTCCCTAGCAAGCTGTCCTGGACTTCTGCTGTCTTTGGAAGTCTGAAAGCAGCTTGGGTGGGGGCTGGGGGTTTCCCACCTGGCCGGCCTGGGTTAGGGGCTTGGGCTCTGTGCCCTGGGAGGGGCGGCCCCAGCCGGCTGCGCCCCTGCCCAGTGCCCCAGCCCCGCCCGGCCCTCCGGCCTGACCCCTGGGGGAGTTTCCGGTCCCCATCGCCTCACTTTCCGTGACACAAGAGGAAGTCAGCTGCCCAGCCTGGGTTTTCCAGGCAGCCTGGGCGGGGTGGGGGTGGAGTGAGCCCCCGGAGTGCACCAGCGGCTCGGGGCCTGCAGGACAGGGATGCCTGCCCGGAGACGCTCGCCGGCCGCCGAGGGCCACACCAGGTGAGGGAGGGCGCCGTCAGCGCCGTCACGAGGGGCACAGCCCGGGACGTGGCCCCTGACAGGTCACCTCAGTGCCCGAGGGCTGGCTCGCTCCGCTCCAGGGCAAAGGGAGCCAGGGATTGGAGAGGGAGGAGCTGCGTGGGCGAGCGTGGTGGGGAGGGAGGGGAGGCTGGCGGGGAAGGCGCTCTGTCCGCCCTGGGCGGAGGAGTGAGCGATGAGTGAGTTCGTGAGGGAGGGAGGCTGTGGCTCCCACGGGCACAGAGCGGCCTGGTGGCCGGAGCAGCGCCGGGCAGCCTCCTCCAGCCTGTGTCGGGGAGCCCTCGGAGCCTGCGTCACTGCCCAGGGGTGGTGGCTGCCAGCACCCCGCCTGGGAAGGGCCTTGTCCTGTCCAGCCTGACCCCGGGAGGGCAGGGCGGCGTGTGTGTGTGTGTGTGTGTGTGTGTGTGTGTGTGTGTGTCGGGGGCCCTGCCTTTAGCGCCACCTTTGCCGTGACCGTGACCGTGACCACAGACCTTTGTCTGCGTCATGCCGTGGGCCCCCTGTTGGTTGTCACCGAGGCTTGGTGACCGGAAGTCAGCTGTCTTGTTCCCTGTCTGGCTGGGAGGGGCCGAGGCAGGTCCCGTGCAAGGTGGGGCTCCCGAGGGCCCCGGGGTCTCTGTGTGATGTCTCTGAACGTGCACCTTCCTGGCTGTGGTGCGCTGGGGCCCTCGGGTGGGCCCTGACCCGCTGTCCCGTGTCCTTCCTGGTCCCTCCTGGGTGCTCCTGGCCCCACACACCTGATGAGCCTCGGGTGGGGCCCTCAGGGTCCCGTGGCTGTGCTGATGCACCTGGCCAGGCCTTCACACTGACAGCTGGGCGCCCCAGCCAAGCCGGCTGCCTCTGGGGACGCGTCCTCTTCCGGCCTCACACTGAGCTCCCTGAGGTTCCCCTGGCAGTGGTGGAGCTTGGAGACCCGGGTCCCCCAGCGCTAGGCTGGGTCTGGGGCCTCGATATGCGCTCGGCTCTCTCTGTGGTGCACAGCAGGGCGAGACAGGGGCGAACCCACCCATCTTTCGGGTGTGATAACTGAGGATCAGAGAGGTTAAGTGAGTCCCCTGAGGGGCACAGCCAGCCTGCAGGCCCCTCCTGGGCTCCTGGTCTGTGGGCGTCCCTCCCCTGGTGCTTTTGCCTCACGGGGCAACCCCAGGGGCCTGGGGCCAGCACAGCTGCCGTGTCCTGAGCCCACCTGCACCACACAGAGGCACGTGGAGATGTGAGGTGAGTGAGGCCCCAGGTGCCGGGTGCCAGGCTCGAGCCCAGGTCCGGCACATGCCAGGCGAGTGCCACCACAGCCCTGTTCATTTATTTTTATTTTGAGACCGGATCTCACTAAGCTCCCTAGGCTGGCCTTGAACTCGCCATCCTCCTGCCTCAGCCTCCTGAGTGCAGGGCTGGCAGGTGTGCCCCATAAGCCGGGCTGTGTGCAGTGTTCCTAAAGCTCCTGCCCCTGTCCTCCACGCAAGGCCTTCTCTCCTCGGTGTCTGGCAGTGGGCAGGTTTGGCACAGCCATGAGGGGTGGGTGGAGGGGAGGTCGCGGGCGATCACTAGGAAGAGAGCGCAGGAGGGGTGTCCATGCGGCCCCCTGTGAGGGCAGGTGGCCCCGGTGGGGCAGGGCCTCAGTCCCAGCTCTGCCCCTCTGGGCCCCAGGGCTATGCCCCACCCCCACCTGCCTGCTGGGGCCACGGTTGGCAGAGGAGGGGGCGGAGCTGAGTGTAGCCTGCCCGGGTCAGACGGCATGCAGGTGGCCCTCCAGCCGCTCAAGCCCGGACACACGGGGGAGGACTGCTCACACACTGGTACCACAGACCAGCCCCGGGCACAGCCTCCGTGACTTCACCAGCCGAGCCCAGGGCAGGCAGCACCTACGCGTCTCCCCTGGGTTTTCTCCCCATTTCTTCTGCCCAGGTAGCTCCTGTCCTTTTATTGTCATTGGCTGGTTTTGCAGTTCTTGAGATTTACTAAATGGCACAGCCCTTTTTTTTTTTCCGGTACCAGGAATCGAACTCACGATGTCACGCTTGCCAGGCCAGCACTGTGCCGCTGAGCTAAATCCCAGCCCCAGCACAGCCCATTTATACTCTTGCTTTTTCTCAGAGTTATGCCTGGGAACATACCTGTGTTGTTATCTGCATACCAAATGTTTCTTCTTTTTCATTACTGTATAGTATTCCACGGGGCAATCAAACCATTCTGCCAAAAAGTGTGTTTGTGCTGTAGAAAGTACAGGTTTAACCCCAAAGCTCTGCTGCCCCCATAGATGCATGTGCAGTGCAAAGTGCTCTGACTTTCTTTGGGGAGCCACAGCCCGGGAGGGGTTGAAACACACAAAGCCACACAATGTCCTGATGCTTTCCTAAAGCTGAGTGGCCTCGGGTGCCCGCTTCTTGCTCCTCTCCTGGCAGCGGCAGCCTTGTGCTCGGGGGTGCTGAGCAGCGCCTGCCCCTGGGCTCTGGGCCGTCTGCACAGCAGGGTGGCTGGCCCCGTCCCAAGCTGCCCCCTACCATCCCTGATCTTCAGAACAGTGGGAGAGGAAAGTGGCCAGGCGACACCTCCTGTGACCTGTCGGTGGACACACGGCCATCTAGAACAGACAGGGACCCACGGCTCCTGCTGCGCTATCCCGGAGGCTGCCCCTTCCAAGCCTGCCACTCAGGGTGCTGCCCGCCGGTGCTCCCCGCCTTCAGGGAGGGCCTGTGGCATGCAGGGGCCTGAGACACGATTATGGTCCCACGTCAGGGGATCCCTGGGCACCCAGCCAGGCCTGGTGGCAAAGCCCACGGCTCCTGCACCCCACCTTCTGTGGACAGCATGGGCAGGCTGAGCTCCCCAGGGCCCCTGTGCCCCTGCAAATCCCTGGCAGCTGGGTGAGCTCCCCGTGAGACCGGAGCGATGCCGCCCACACGTGGGAGAGTCCCCAGAGTCCCCGAGGGCCATGTCCCTTCCCAGGGCTCCCGTGACCAGCTGGGACCCGCACGCGCACAGTCACCGCTGCTGGGTCCCCGGGGCGGCGGCCACACGCCCCGGGCAGGCGGCACTTTGAGCTCTGTGTCCGTGTCACTGGCCAGGCTGCGTGTGTGGCGGTCACAGCCCACTGGCGTGTTGTGGCCCCTAAGCCCTGGGAGCAGGCGGCTCCTGCTCCTGCCGCTGGGCTTGTTTTACTCCTGCTCAGACTGGCAGGAGCCTGGGGTACACAGAGGGACCCTGAGGCTGCGGGGGGGTGTGGGCCAGCCCAGATGGCGCCGGGACCCGGGGGAGTGAGGGCCAGCCCAGATGGCGCCGGGACCCGGGTCTGCTCCCCATGGACCTCCCTGTGGCTTTGGTGACAGCAGGAGCGCGGGGCGCTCACAGTCACCGTGTCCCGTCAGGACCTGTGGCCGGGGGAGGGCGGAATCCGTGGTGGCTCTGTCATCTGGCCAGTCCTGCTTGTCCTGGGCTCATTCCTAGAAATCCTGGGGCCTTTCCTCAGCCTCAGGGCCGAGCGGGCAGGGGAAGCAGGAGCAGAGCAGGTGACACTGTGGCCCTGGGAGCCCGTACCCCGGCCTGGGGGTGGGGCCGCCACCTCCCGAGAGCGTGTGGTCTCCCTGGCACGGCCCTGCTGGGCTCCAGGGCACCTGCGGGCCTGGGCTTGGCCTGGCCGTTTGGGCCAGCCTTTGGGGCTTGCACGGGCAGGGGGTGACAGCCACGCCCAGGTGCTCACAGGAAGCGGGTCGTGAGTGGTGGAAAAGTGACGGATCTGTCAGGGCCACGTGAGCTCGGCAGGCGCGGCCCCGCCCGCCCGGACAGGGCCTGGGCTCGAGGGGCGCAGAGACCACCGGGACTAGGAGTAGGAGGGGCAGGGAGACTCTGCTCTGCTGTCCAGCCAGGCGCCCCATCCTGTCCCTCCTCCCTCCACCCGCTTTTGGGCATTAATCTCTGACATGGTCTTCCTTGCCGTGCGGCTGCAGCGAGCCAGGTTTCTTAATTACTTCTTTTTTGATTAGAAAAACAAATCACCCCTCCGCCCCACCCAAGCGCGGAGCTCGGAACGCACAACTCAGAGGAAGCTCTAAGTCTCCGCCTGCGGCGCGGTGGGTGGTCCCTGCTGTGACCCCACTGGGGACCGCTCTGTCCCTCACGGGCCGTGACCGCCCGAGCTCAGACTTCCCGGCTTTGGGAGGGGCAGTCGAACATTCATGGGTGTCAGCCTCGCTCGCTTTTTCTTTTAGAGGCTTTTTAAAAGTTGTTTTCAAGACGGTGGTGTGTTTCTCAGAGCACTGCGGGAGGCGCGGGAAGACGGCTCTGGCGTCTTAGGCCGGGAAATCTCACCGTCACCCTCACCCAGTCCAGGCTGGGCGGCCCCTCTCCCCGCCCGGGCTTTCTGGAAAGCGTGACCTTCCCCAGAGGAGACGGCCTCGTGCACAGTGGTGTAGCTGGTGTAAGCAGGCGTTTGTTTCCACGTGAGGAAAAGAGGTGGCCCCCGGTGAGAACCCGGCAAGCAGGCTCCGCGCCCTGGGGTCTGCCGGACGTGCAGCCAGCATCCGTTCTGCAGCCGCCGCAGCTGCGAGCCGAAAGCCAGTGGGCAGCGGAGCTTGGGTGTCACAGCCCCAGCCGCCTGCCCTCGAGTGCCTGTCCCTGGTCACCACGTTACGTCTCACCGCGATGGCAATCTCCGGGCCCACTTCATACAAACCGGGCAGGTGACCATTGTTAAAATCCAGGGGAGAAAGGGAAGTAAGAAGAGTTAAGACGTGTTGTTCATGTTAGCTCCCGCCAGGGAGGGGGCCGTCCTGTGCGGCAAATGAGGGCTGATACAATCACATGGATGAAAACAGAGAACTTCCGAAGCTACCGCGCAGAACCCCAGCGCCGCTGGTATTTATTCTGACGGGCGACGGGTTTTGTGCCCTTTGAGCCCTGTATTTTTAGGGTTAATGTTTTCCTAACTGTTCAGTTTCAGCTCTGCCGCTGTTGTGTTTTAAAGCTGATCCAGTAGGAACACATTTCCCAGGTCATGAGGTCTTTCTGGAAAAAGCCATACTTTTTATTGATCGCTTATCTGTCCACCGAGGGTCTTAATGAATGCAGTCCTTTGGCGGCGTTGGACTTGCGCACTGGGGTTCTCTTTCTGAATTTATAAATAATTCAGGGATAGAGCAGCCCCTGCAGAGAACTGTTTCTGCATCTGCTTCTTTGGGATGTATTCCCAGACAGCGAGGGGTTTTATGGCTCTTAATGCGTAGTCAAATTATTTTCCAGATTGTCAATAGCCCTTCGCCAGTTAGCAGCCTCCTGTTTATTCTGAATTGAGTGAATATAAAATATTGCCTCATTTTAATTTCTGTGCCATTTACTTTTATGTTTTTTTAATTTAATTTTTTTGTTTTGTCTTTTTTTTGAGGCAGGGTCTTGTTGTGCATTTCAGGATGGCCTTGAGCTCACTTTGTAGCTCAGGCTGGTCTCGAACTCCCAACGATCCTCCTGCCTCAGCATCCCGAGTGCTGGGATTACAGGCGTGCACCACCACACCCAGCCCATTTGCTACTATGAAGTTGAAATTGTTAATGTGTTTATTGGCCACCTATGTGTCTTTCTTTCTTTTTTGTGAATTGTCTAAAATACTGCTTTCCAGTCAAACATTCTAAGATGTTTGAAATGGCCCCTATCTATCCCACTGTATCTACCAGCCAAATGCAGACATTGGAGCATTTGAAATGTTTTTAATTTAAGCTTACGTTTTATTTATTTAAGGTTTTAATAGAAATCTAAGTGTAAGCAGCCCCCGGTGCTCAGTGGCTGCAATCTTAGGGAGCAGCTCGCTCCCCTGGGAGGAACTAGGGTCTCCCTGGGTGATTACTCGGGGCTTGTAGGAGCTTTTTATTGACTATGGTTGTTAATTTTTGTCAGGTTGGTTGCAAAGAGTTTCCGCAGGTTGCTGTTTGACCTTTACTTTTTCATTCATGCTGTTTACAGCATTTCAAGATCTTAGGGAGCCGGATCTCGTGATCTTTTCTCTTGAGGTTTCTCCACCAAGGGGGACTTGATAGATCTGCTCCCCAGCTTTGACTCTTTCTGTGACCCACCTCGAGCTCATTTGGCCCTGTGGTAAGGGGCCCAGGGTGTCTCTGTCTCCGTCCCTAAGTTTTCTCTTCGATGTGAGCTGGACTGAGGTGGGTGCTGAGCAGGCAGAGTGCAGTTCTACGAGCCCAGCCTGGGGGTTTCAGCAACTTGACAAGACCCTGTCTCAGAATAAAAACTTAACAAAGAATCAGGGACGTAGCTCGGTGCAAAGGCCCTGGGTTCAATCCTCTGTATTTGGAAAATAAAGAGATGAAAGAAAAATACTACTGTCTTTAAAAATGACACATTGTAAAATCTTGGTGTTTATGACACTTTTCAATGACCTAGAAAAATGACTGTGATGCAGTTATTTTCAGAGAAGTATACAAAATCAAAGCTACTGTGTACCATCGATAATGCTAAAAGTGCAACACAAGTATCTAAAAGAAGCAGCTCAAGTATTAAAAACAATCATCTGTGTGAGGTTTTTTTTTTTTTTTGCTTTTTGAGACAGGGTCTCACTGTACAGTTCAGGCTGGCCTTGGGCTCACTTTATAGCCCAGGTTGGTCTCAAATTCGCAGTGATCCTCCTGCCTCAGCCTCCCTGGGGCTGGGATTACAGACGTGGGCCACCATGCCAGGTGCAGTTGTTATTTTATTGCTCTAGGTCTCTAGCTGGTTAGGGGACAAGGGACACGGGGTTGCTTACTGCCCTTGATCCCTGTGCCCCGTTCTCTAAGTCACAGCCCCGGCTGGGCTGTGGGTGTGGGGCAGAGGGAGGGTCGACCCCCTCATCTCCCGCCGAACCTGGGATCCTCAGGCACCCACACCATGTGTTTTTCTCAGGCACATGATGTAGCTCAGCACCGTCTTCCCATCCGTAAAATGAAAATAACGGCAGGCCTGCGCCCGACCAGTGAGGACGTGCTGTTCTGCTGCTAATTACACAAGTACACACTGTGTGCAAGTATTGGAAACTGCACGGATCGTCACAGCTCACCCGGAGAACAACAGCACCCCTACAGCACCGACATCAACTCTCAGAAGGGATGTTTCTTCCTCTCTCTCCCTCCTCCCACAGCCCAGCCACTAAAAGGGAGGCCTGCACCTGTATTTATTCACTGATTTTATAAAATGGGACCCTCTTGTACTTACTACTAGGCAACTGCTTTTTCCCACTTTCCAGAAAGCGGTGAATGGCTCTCCCCGTCAGCACCGGGGGCTTATGGCGTGCCTGTCTTTCTCCCTGCTGTCCGCCTCCCTGCCGGCGTGAGATGGTGTCTGCGTCCTCCTTGACCCGTCCGCGGTCTGCCAGGGCCGGGCTCGCCCTGTGGGGAGGGTCTCCCGCCGTCAGCCCCCCTCGAGGCTCTGCGGTGCTTCGGAGGTCTGCAGTTCTGAGAGATAATGTTTGTGTGAAGATTTTTAGAAAGTGGCCGAATTGGTGTGATTACCTTTCGCCCGGCTGCTTCCGTTCTGGGTGTCCCTGACAGTTTAGCTTTTACCCATCCCAGAGGTCTGAAGTACCTAAGTGTGTTTTAAATTTTTATTTTTTTATTTCTTTATCATTTTATTTACTTCTTTAATAAAATATTTTATTTTCTGATGTTTTGTGGACTTTTGTATTTCTTCATTGGTTAATTATTGTATCCTTTACCTCTCTCTTTTTTTTTTGCGTTGTCTTTCCCTCCCTGCTTGATGTATAGACGTTATTTATATATAATGCGTATTCTTGCTTTGTGATACATGTGGCAAATACTTCCTCCCAGCCTGTCATCTGAGAGCAACTATTCATTTTTATGATGTTTTCCACTATTCGTAAGTTTAACACTTTTATGTGGTGAAAATTCTTCTTTTGTTCTCTTTTTGACTTTTAGTTTTCACGTCAGCCTCTTCCACACGAGGTTATAAACATGTTCCTTACGATTTCTTCTGTGACTTCTGTTGTTTTGTTTTACCACACAGAACTCTTTCACCCCGCTGTGTTTTGTTTTTGAGGATGCTGTGAGAGGTGACGAGGTTTAGTTATTTGAACTCATATTTAAAACTTTTATTTTCTGTTTTCCTTTGAAGCAAAAGCAGTTGCTTCAAATTTGCTTTTTGAAAATGCCGTCTTCTCCCCAGTGACTGGGAATAGTACTGAATGTCCTTGTAAATGATGTGACTTTCCTTTCTCTGGACCTTCTTTTGTCATCATAATTTGATTCCCCAGATCGTCCGCTCTGTTTCGGCCTCTGGAAGTCCCTAGCTTAACTCCACCGCGGAAGTGTGCAAGGCTCTTGCTTTCTCTCAGACACTGCTGGGCCCTCCTCTTATTTTGACATAAATGTGCCAACTCTCCCCACCCGAAATGCCACCTTAAATTTATTTACGTGTTTATTTTAAGTGCATTTTGATGTGTATATTTAAGATATTAGGAGACGTGTGGAAAGGAACGCGGTCAGTGTTGTGAAGCCTGTTAACACATCCAGCACCTCGGTCGCCCAGTGTGTGTTCGCACATGTGTGTGCACGCGTGTGTGCATGCGTGTGTGCACGCGTGTATGGCAAGAGCAGTCGCAATCTCGTTAGCAAAACCCCTGGCTGCCACACAGTCGATTTCAGCGTGGCTGACCCGTGGCTGGCCCGAGGGGAGGAGCTGTTCGCAGCTCTGGCCTCCAGGGGGCCCGGGTGTCAGGCCGGACCCCGGTGCTCAGGGTCTCAGTTCCCCCCGCACAGCGGGTGTGGCTGCTCTGAGATTGCCTTCCGGTGCGGATCAAGACCTCCTTCGTGGGCCTGAAGTGCCAGGCTGGACTCGGGTACAAGCGTGGAAGTCCCCCAGCTTCAGGGGCTCTTCACCCCAGCGGGGGCTCCGCACATGCCAGAGGTTTGAGGGTGAAATGCCCCTCGAGTGTGTTGCACATTCACGGGCAGAAGTAGATTAAAGGCAACGCGTGTGCGGGCGGGGCGGGCCCCACGGGTCAGCAAGGCCAGCAGCACTGCTGTGCGTGCGTTGCGTGGAAAACTTCATGATTAGCAAAGTGTTAAAAAAAAAAACCCGAAAACCCAGTGAAAGGAATTTAGTAAAACTAAAAATGACAGCGGTTGCAGTACCTAAGTTCCCAGACTCCTCCAATTTCAGCGTCTATCTGCGTCCTCGGGTTTCTCACCTCCAGCACTGTCAGAGGTGTCTGGCTTGGACCCCCACGCTCCTGCAGGTCGGGTGGGACCCCACCAACCAGCGCCCGATCTTTGGACCAAACAGGGAAAAGCCTTGCCCAGAGCTGCCCAGCCGTGAGAGCCATTAGGACTCTCGAAGGTGCGGGCACTCGGCTCTTCCGCCCCCCCGGGCTGAGCGGACTCCCCTCTGCGGGGAGCTGCTGTGACCCTGCGCACCCCAGCTCCCGGCTGGGGGGAGGGAGCAGGAAGGGGCTGTTCCCTGAGGAGGGGCAATGCCGCACCCTGCGGACTCAGGCTTCAGAGCCCAGATCCGTATCTCGAAGCCCACCCCACTGGCTGGCACTGCCCCGGGCCCGCTCTCCACTCCGCCTGTCTCCGCTGGCCCTGGCTGGTGGCCTGCTCGGGCGGAGGAGGCCTTGGCCGTGCCATCCTGCATCCCCTACTGAGTCCTACGTGGCCACCTCCCACTGTGGGACCCCGCGTCTCCCCTGCCTGTGGGGCAGGGTCCCCGGCCTCGAGCCGCGTGGCCACTGCCCCCACCTGCCCCTTTCTCTGGCCCCGGTCGCTGCCCAGAGCCAAGCCGCTGCTTCCCAGGCGGCCGTGCGCGTCCCTGTCCCTGTGTGGACGGCTCCTGCGCTCACTCACACCCACCTTTCCTTTTCCTTTCTGTTTTGGAGGCAGCGCTGGGGATGAAACCCGGAGCCTTCACTGAGCTATGTCCTCAGCCATTCTCTTATTTTTTTTTATTTTATTTTGAGACAAGGCCTTGCTAGGTCTTTAAGTTGCCCAGCCTAGGCTTAAATTTGTGATCCTCCTGCCTCAGCCTCCCAGAGTGCTGGGATCACAGGCGTAGGCCCCCACACCCACTTGTCTGTCCACACATCGTGGACAGACTGAGTCCCTGGCTCGGGTGAGGCTTCTGAATTCGAGGCTGGGAACAGTGCAGCTGGCCGTGGCGGGTGCTCTTACCACTGACCAGCCCTCCCTGGGCCATGGCTTGGGTGGCAGCAGGCTGCTGGGCTCGTGGGGAGGACGCCAACCCCGGGCAGCCCTAACAGCCCCTGGGCAGAGCCAGACCCAGTGCCCGCGGCTGCTGCCTACTCCAGCCCCAGCCCCACGCAGGCCTCCACAAACGGGTGGGACTTCTGCTTTATTTCCCGAGCTTCCTGGAGGTACAGCAGTAGCATTGTTCACAGGATGTAGAAAAGAATTTAAGGCCAGCCCTGCTCGGCTCCCTGAGGAACCTGGGCGCCCGTGGGCCTGGAGAGGAGGCCTGTGTGCCCCATCTGCTTCCTTCTTTGCTTGTTTTTGAGACAGGGTCTCACCATGTAGTTTAGGCTGGTCTTCCTCAAAACCCTTAGCCGTCCTCCTGCCTCAGCCTCCTGTGTCCACCCCTGGCAGCACAGCCTTTTGAGGACGGCAGGATGGGCCTTGCAGGACACGCGGTGAGGCTGCTGTCACAACAGATGCTCAGGGGCCCGGTCACAGGGTACACCTTGCTCCAGGTCGGAGCCTCCCGGGGCGGCTGGGAAGGAAGCCCTCCCTCCCCGCAACCCCCAGCCCCGACCTGCCTGCGCCTGGCCTGCCCGCCTCCTGGTTCCCCGCCCGCCCATTTCCCAGCAGAAACCCCGCAGGGCTAGTGTCCCCTCTGGGCAGCCAGTGTCACTGTGTCTGCCGGGGCTGCTGGAGGAGGGCTGGCAGCGATGGGTGAGCAGCAGCTCCAGGGCCCCCCACTGCCCCTTCCTGGCCTTAGTGGGGCCTCCCCGCCTGTGTGGCATGGGTGCTGCCTAGGGCCCTGCTCCCTAGGAGCTGTGGGGGGACAGGGACTGGGTAGAACGGCAGTTGGGGCCTGCAGCCTCCTGAGATCCTGGGACCACTGGGTCCTGCGGGAGCCATGGGACCACCCCCTCCTGCCCCGGGGTGGGCACTCTGTGGCTGAGGGACGCCAGGACCCCGGACACGCCCCTTCTCCACAGCCCACCGCCCCACAATGTCCTCTCCCCATTCCCGGGTTGGGGATGGGTACTGGGGGACAGGCCAGTCATCCCACCCATGCCTCTCCCAGCCAAATGTGGGTGCATAGACCCTAAACAGGAGGGACTGCTGAAAACACATTGTAGGGAGGAGAGGGGGGTGGGAGAGAAGACAGGTGGTCAGGGAGGGAGGGGGCAGCCCCATGCACAGGAGCAGAAGAGGATTCTGGGAGCAGGAGCTGTGCAAAGTCCCTGGGGCAGGAGGAGGGTGGTGCGGTCCAGGCAGAGGGGTGGGAGCACAGGGGTGCAGAATCCGTTACACAGAAAGAGCACGGGCAGGAAGTGGAAGATCTGCTCGTGAGAACTCTGTCCCAGCGGCAGGGAGGGCACCAGGGATGGGAAAGGACTCACTGGGGACCCCATCCACTCCTGGGGAGGGGTGGAGAGGACCCTCACACATCTAGGCGGAGCCTTGAGCGAGGTGGGCCTGGGTCCAGGACAGTGGGAACTGGGCGCAGGTGGGCAGGCCATGGGGGCAGGGCGGTGTGGGGGTGACGTCACGGTCTGCTCCGCAGCGGTGCCTCTGACCTGGCCAGACATCCATCCCCAGCACCCCCACTCTGTCACCCACGGCTGCGCTCAGGCTGGGGGAGGGGCTGCTATTTTGGCCACAGAGGAAAGGAGGCCATCGCCCACTCCAGCCCCGGCTCCCAGAAACTAGGTCGCCTCGAGCCCGGGGCTGCCGTGCCAGCTGTCATCGACTGACCGAGAGCCATGTGCCCCTGCCCCGGGCAGGCCCTGTCTGGCTGCAGAGGCTGGGTCCCAGGGCTGCTGCTGGGAGGTGCCCGCGTGTCCTCTGCCTCCTGGGCTGGCAGTGGGGGGCAGGGACAGCCGCCGAGGGCGCAGGAGAAGCGGGGTCAGGCCGAGGCCGCGGAGAGCGCCCAGGCCCGGCTGTGTGGCGCCAGGCGCTCCGTGTCCCCTCCGGACCTGCTCCATCCCAGCGTCTCTCAGGCCTGCGCTCAGGCTGCGGGGGTGAGGCGGGGTCCGTGCTGTGCTCCGGGGCTGCGGGGCCCTGTAGCCTCTGCAGGCAGAGCCGTCGCCGTGCCCGCGAGCCACCCGCCCGCCCGTCCTGGCCCCGCTTTGATGCGGGGATGTGAGAACCGGCAGTGGCCGCTCACGCGTGAGGTTGAATCGAAACGAAGCCACCAAGGCCAGCGGGAGCTGGATGTTCTCTGCTCCGTGGTCGCTGTTTCCTGCGGAGACGAGAACCGTGACAGGCTGCTTTCGGCAGACAGGGCCGGGCAGTGGCGGAGCCGACCGGAGCCGCGGGTCTGCATCGGCTCTGCGCCCGGCACCAGCACCGGCGGAGGACGGGCTCCGGACAGCCCGGGCGATCTAGTGACTTAGCAAAACCCGTCTCCAAGTAAAAGGGGAACAAGGGCGGGGCTGGGGCTCAGGACAAAGGCCCTGGGGTT